GTTTGATGACTTCTAAAGTTAGGACATTTACCCTTTTACTTTGACTTGGACACATCATTTATAAAGTAACAGTATTTATGTCAAATTTCCCCTTGGATTTCTTGAGAAGTCTTACATAAACATGACAACCCTGGCACGTGCCACAAATCTCAACCCATCATCCCAGAGTGCACACTTAGGTCAGGGTTATTTTAGGTTGAGGAGAAATTACTCAATTTAACTGAAAATGCAAACAATCCTCAGTTGCTTCATGCATTTTAGTTATTTGTCGAGACATGTAAACATCAATTCTGTCGTCAATCAAGCGTGAGAGACAATTTTCCTCTTAAGTGGCTGCCGTCGCTGTGTTAACAGTGTGTGTGTCTGCTTGTGAGTGTACAGCAGTGTGTATTGGCTGTTCATTGGTCCTGCCTGTCTTGGTGTGTCTGATTTCTCTGTTGTGGTGTTGGGATTACTCTGGGGATTAGCAGGATACTGGCAGCACCCATCGATGGGACAGAGATGACAGTTCCCATCATGTAGTCTCCCGCTTCAACCCCTCGCTACTTCCCAGACTTAAAACGGCACAAACAGCAGATTACATGAGAACGACAGCAGGGGAAGAAGTCACACATCGCACAGTGGAGATTAGGCGGAACAAACTCTTCTTCGGCTGCTTGGGGGTATTCAACCCAAACATTGAGAGCTGTTTCTCATGGCACAGTTTGGGCTGGATTAGGGAGCTGCAGAGAGCATTTCTTTGGACACGAGTTTGGGAAAAAACAAATATGTTAGTCAAATAAATTGTAAAATTAAAATTTTAGTTAATATGCTGTTGTAAGCATCACCATTTTCACATACAAGAGCATTGGGTAGGACTTTCATCCATGTTTAGCAATATAACTACATCAAATGATCTACCTCTAAAGACTGTACATTTTCATATGAGTTTCACCTGTATGTTCAAGCCTTATGGATGTTTCCGTCTATCTCTTTCTGACCAAGCTAATCTGTATGACTCTAAAACCCAGTAGAAAAAGAGAAGTCTGGCTCTTGCCTGAATTCAGCCATTTGAGCCTGTGCTTGCCCAGGTTGCCTTTGTACCTTTCAAGTTTTACTGACTTGCAATTAATGTTTGGAGAGCAACATGCGTGGGAGTGCAGTGGATGCATGTCATATGAAAAAGACTCTAGCCGACTTCCCCCTGTTCAAGGACACAGAAACAATTATCTGTGTTCTATAGAAAATCTCAACAAAGACATATCATCTTTTGTTGTTTTATCTGAGTTGGAATATAATGGTAAAGTGCACTTTTATACTATAAGTTGACAGAATGGTTTTCATTAGAGTTTGAACAATGTACACTCTTTTATGGTCTATTGTGAGAGAAATGTAGACGGGGCCTACAGGAAGGTGGGAGGATCGCAAGCTGTAATTACATGTGGTGTATTGACTTGGTTTAAGAAGACTGTTTGAAAATAAGCGTCAGTATGTTTAATAAGACTTAGCTGTTTGTATGCGTATTGGCATCTTTATTTTGGCATGCAGTTTGTTACTGTCGGTCTTAACCACCACTCTCTGCAAACAACACACATCCCCTGTTTGTCCTATAGACACTTTGTTTCTGCTTTGATGCACCTGTCACTTTAGTAAGCCCAGTCTGTGTTACAGAATGTACTAGTCTTATTATTATGGGCATTCACCTGCAGAGAAGCCACGGTTCTTTAGTTTAATTAAACACCTTCGGCTAGATTTGAATAGTGAGCCATATTTGCAGAGGTGTTGATTTATCTGGTGAGAAATGTCAACTCTTGTTAACTTGAAATAACTCTAAATTTAGGAAAGTCAAAAAGTATCCACACCATCAAACTTCATCTGAGACCCAATTTGCACCAAACAGCAAACACTTGCTGTGTGTATTTTTAACATTGTGAGTGTTATTCTGCCATGGGATTAATTTATTTTCATCAGTGCTAAAGTCAATTACAGAGAAACAATTGAAAAAAAGCAGGACTTTTTGACAAGGACCCTTTTTTTACAGTGTTTATAATTTAAAATGTTATTGTTGCAAATAAAACATCTGATTTATAGATATGTAGTTATCCAACCATTTAAGGGTTTCCAGACAATGGAAAACTGGTGTTTGAATGCAAATGTGTTTTGTCTTTTAAGCTTGCATGTTTAGTCTCTGACAAAACACTTTTTTGTAATTTAAGTACATTTTATTAACTATTATATTATTACTTTTATTAAAAGAAAAGTTAGAATTTTGGAAAAAAGTGCTGTATTTGCCCTCTTGCCAAGAGTTATGTAATAAGATTGATACCACTCTCAAATATGACATTAGTATCTTAAATATGGGAGTGGTATCGACCCTCTCAGTAAACTCATTTATTAAAAGATTACCGACATCTCCAATTCTTTTTTTTTGTATTAAGTAGAATACAAATAGCATTATGGAGTTTTCAAAATCAGCCCACTATACACAATAACACACAAACATACTCCACCTTGGACATCATACAGTATGTTAACCTAAAATGGTTAGTAACAATGTTTTTTTATTTTTAAATATTTAAATATCAGAGCACTCACTTTCTGAGTTTGCAATGAAAATGAGAATGGGAACATTAGAATGGCGTGTGTGGCTAAATGCACCTCATCACAAACTACCACTACCTGTCAAACAGAAGGATGATGTACATTGAAAACACATTCGCTTCCTCGTGGCACTCACATCTATCACAAGTTTATGGCCACTCTCCCCATTCTAGCACATCTCTGCTGTGACATCCATCTATGTCACCGTCCTAACTTGCATATCCGGAGGCCTGTGTTGTTTTTTCCGTCTTTTAAGTGTTCATAAGATATTCTTGACAGGTTTCACCATATGTTGTCTCTGCATATGCGAGCAATTGTGGATTCTTCTTATCGAGAGTAGCTGGAAGGTCAAAATTGAGATTTTTTTTTTTTTAATAGTTTAATGTCATGTTAAATGATGGGTGAATGTGTGAAGGTTCTGACAAGTAATTCTCCGTATGCACATCAGGTGACTAAATAAGCTGTTTCCTTGCAAGAGCATGCCTCTGCTATTTTAATAAAGGTCGTGTTGGGAGATTACTCAGGCATTCAGCTGCCAATGTCTCACATCAAAACTGTTTAATTTGCATAGTAGGGAAGAAATGTGGTTATGTTTACCTTCAGCTAACATGGCATGCTGAAATACAAGAAATATATGACTGTATATGCATGTGCAAAAAGTATTAATGTTCTGTTTTTACAGTCACTGTGTTTGACATTTGGGATGTATTTGTACTGCTGTAAAACTTCAGCTCTGTTACGGGGGGTAAATCTTCTCAGGTTTTTCCGAAGACACAGTGCAGTGGCTGATGCTCTGTTTGAGGGGCAGGTACATAGGAAAGGATCTAAATCATCCTACAGCAGCATTACACAGCAAACTGGAGCAACCCAACACACAGATGCTGCTGCTGCTGCTTATCACAGTGCTGCAGTGCTAGGGAGGAGCTTGAATAAACTCACAGCAGTAGCTTGTGGCAACTTCCTCCTGTCTCCAGATACTGTGAAGTTTGGTCAGACACTCTTGTGAGTTGACAAGTTGGATAATCCTCCATATTAGTCAATAAATCCCCATTACATTTACCACTACAAGTCTGCAAACAAGTAACTTTTGTTGGCGTGAGTATGTGCACCAAGTACAACACTGAGTTGTGCATATCAATGCTTGTGTTCTGTTTTTGAAGGATAACTGTTTGTCATCCTGCTCCCTGTTCCTGAAACTTTCAAATATTGTGTTGAATGTTAGCATCTCTTTCACGAAGCATCTGCGCGTAAGAATAACGTGTGCATAAATGCATGAATATCTGTTCTATCTATTAGGTTCTCTGTTAACAAAAATGTGTTGAACATCTCCAATTTCTGATGCAATGGGGTGCAAGAAATAGTCAGTCATTAACCTTTACTTTCCTGACACAGAGACTCCTCTTAACCATCAGAGGGCACTAAAAATCCACCTGATGCTCTCAAACATTCAGAGGCAATTAATCTAAACATCACTTGACTTAGAGCCAGTCTATTTTGTCAAGCGCAATATGAAAACAATTGTAAAGCACATGCTTGGTTGTATATGAAGAATAATCCTCTTTATCAATTTTTTAATTTTGAACGAATTTTAATAATGAGGTCAGTCTGATGCAACCATGTGCTTTGCCCTGGTTGAATACAAAGTATCTTAATTGTACAAGCAGACAAAGTTGCAACTTCCTAGCACGTTCTCTGTATAGAAAAAACGTCTATTTTTCTGTGTCATGAAAAATAAACCCATACATTAAACGAGACAGGAAATTGATTGAAAGTGTGCTGATCAGTCTTATGGAAATCATAAGGAAGCTTAAGTCACTTTTCCAAATGGCTCTTGCAGCATTGTAGTAAATGTTTCAGACAACAATTATAAGAGGCAAATCATAAAACAAGGTAAAACTAAAATACGTTATACTGCTCTTACTTTTAGAAAAGTATGAAATAGGAATTGATTATATTTTTACCTAAAAGATCATATTCTAATAATGTCTGCATTTGTTTGATAGAACAGTTATATAGCCTATGTTTGAACTTCACACCAAAACGATGGAGAAAGCACTACATCCATGCTTCCAATTGCAATCTGCAATAAAGAAATGTATCCTCCACAATGGCTTTACATGCTATATATATATATATATATATGTAAACTTAGAGTCAGCATCAAGTGAATTCCAACTTTAACAGTGATCAAAAATCAGAAGACACTAAATATGTCACGTTGATCATTTCTTCACTCAAACCAACGCAGGGTTAATCCTACCAGCGGCGTATTGGACGTGGCTTCCTGAGCAGATGAACAGTGACAGATGATGAGTTTAGTGCCCTGAGGATTGCGCACAAGACAGTCAGTGATCTGTTAACAGCCGTTTAACACCGCAGAGTCCCAGCCGCGGCGGCAGACTGGGAGACCGACTCAAGCTGGAGGATTTGTTAAGATAATTCGCTTAGAAGCATAATATTGATCGGACCGAAACATTCTCCGTGACTCAGTTTCAGCTCAAGACTCTTCTGACCGGGCAAAAAGTCTCCAGGAGAGAGATCTCCAGGATCGTTACGCACAACTTTTACGCACAAACGGAAACCTGCCGATGAACAGATCTTCATGTCACCTTCAGCCCGGACTATACTACAATTTATACTCACACAGGTGTGATAATGTTCAGTGTGCAAACTGCAGGAATGGATGAAACGATCCGCTACATGCTCTGCTAAAACAACACCAAACTACGGACACTGGGAACTTGCCTGTAACAGCGAGCAGCGCCGGGTGCCAAAATGAGCTTTTACCACCAGAGCGGGAGGATCTTACATATTGTCGTTGCAACAATTACAGCTGTTCTCACACAAGGTAAGTGACCTGGAAGTAATAGTTTTCGTGTTTTGGTGTATTAAAATCTAAAATGCCCACCAGGGACAAACAGAAGAAGTCAGCTTCTAGCAAAGTGAAAGGAATTATCCTCAAGCTTAACTGTTTCATACTGTGTCAACACTGCATTAACTGATAACAGCTGAAAACGAATGATCTATTAAAGAGAACTGTCCTTCTTGTGCACTTGTTACTGATGGGGGTTGGCCTTCACTAAGCAATGCCATGCCAGCTGTGAAACAGCCTTATCTTCTAGTCTAAGTAATATACATGTCCTCATTTGTGCCACAAACTTACGTCTCACTTCACAGTGATAAAGCTTTCCAGTGAGCCAACAATGAGCATTGATGTTTTGTGGCAAAGGGGCGTGACAGCAGTGAGTGGGGGTATTAAACATGTAGGATGAAATTGATGCGGAGTAAAATCGTTGATGGGTATACATTACAACTCGAGGCATGCCTTAGCAATTCACTTTTGTTTGGGAGGAATTGCTTCCACAAATTGTGTGCTAGAAAATGTTCACATAGCAAACAAGAAGCAGACAATCTGAAATTCCAACTTTGATAATGGAGGAAAAAAAGCATATCACAAAGGCATTTACTGTAAAGCCTATAACTGCCTCGTAGATTGCTATTTCCAGGGAATACAGGCTTGCTGATTTATGTGGATAAAAGGATGACACAAAAGGAGAAAATGTGATAAAACCGGAGATTTAAGAGTCTCATTGGACATAGAAATCCCTACCAATCACTGCAAAAGCTTAAGCCTTCCTCTCTCTCCCCCTTTCCGCCTATCTTCTCCGACCCTCACTCTACCCAGCCCCTCGGGCATTACATGCTGCATGATCAGAACATCCTATTTGTATGTTAGTATAAAGCACTTCATGCAAGATGAGAATATAATGCTGCGAACAGCACTTTTATTAGACCATGAGATTTGACTGACAAGGAACTTTTACATTGGAAAGTGTGGAACTGGGTTCTTCACTCCACTGTTGACAGCACATAATTCAACATCATGACAAGAAGTAAATGGCACAACAACAAATCAGCTAGGGAGTCTTGACCAAAGAACATAAATACACTTCCACTGAAGAGTTTTGAACAACTTGCAAATTGCTTATTGTAACAACCCAGACATTTGAGATCATTATGTACAAAATAGATAAGCAAACTCAAAATCTGTATGACTTATCTTTTAATTGGGACAGCTATACCCCAATTAGACACTACATTGTATCACACAAGTATGTCTTCCAGACCTTTTTTTGGATCACATCATTCCAAACTTTCTGGATGCCCTTTAATAATTGACCACGATGTTGAGAAATAAATAACTTTTTGCAACTTTTAAGAAATTCCTTGAGTGTACACGCTCCCACACTGAACCAACTGAGATGTTGACTTTAATTAAATGCATTATGTCAACAGATTAATATTAAGTTGAACCTAATAAATTTTTTGTTAGGTACTGTTTACCCCCCAAGATTATTTCCAAAGGCCGTAATGTCTCTACCAAAACATATTTGTATTTAACCTATACTATATTTTGGTGTAAAGATAAATGCATTGGAAGGGTCAGCCAGTCAAAAGAGAAAAACACATAGGCTAGTGCTAACATAATTTCTAAGACAGAAAATATTAATCTGCTTCAGGCGCTTAATTATCATTATCGTTATTGATGTATGACCTATAAAGCTAATATAAAAAAGGGAAAGACACTCACAAATATCTCAATTACTGATTCAAATGAAGACATCCGTTGTCCTCTGTGATGCTATTGGGAGCTGACTCTCCCTCTGCAATCTGTTTTGCACATATGGTGAACGTCATTACCGCACATTAGAATTCACAATGTTTACTCCGCAGTTTAATAGAATAATAAATACATTTATTATAATTTGGGAAATGCTGAAAATAAGTTAGCTGACATGTCTTTAAACATATTTTAATATAGAGCCTTGAGACAAACTGTAGAGCAAAAAGTATCTCATGAGAGACAACAGTGTTTTATTTTTTTTAAACTGGTGATGGGGAACATTACTTTTAAATGGATCTGTAAATCTAAATCCCCTAAGTAAACTTTTCAGTAAGAGGTTTCAACAGAAGACATTTCAGCTTCGGCAGTACACTTTCCAAAGTCAAATACCATATTTTCTTTCCACATCCATTAAAATGTGTGGATTTAAAGCCATCATTGGACTGTATTTCCTTCATACAGGTGGCAGAGCTGAAAGATATGATTTGATCCCTGGCATAAAGGAGCTCTCCAGTTGTTTTGCCCTCATAAGAGAGCACTTAAAGGTAGGGTAGGTAAGAATGGAGAAACCAGCTCGAGTGCGCTAGAATTTGAAACTAGGCAGCC